TACTCATATATTTTCATGTAGTTCAGTATTTCTATTAAACCCAGATTAAATTCCATAGACTAGCATCTTCTAAATAGCACTAATATTAGGATATAGAATATAAAATGCTCTCATGAAACTTTTTTTTAACATACATATCATACTACTTTACAACTAAAGCAAAGGCTAACAAGTTTCTTTAGAAGGTTTTTAAAAAGTATAGAAAATTACTGCTATAAAATCAATAAATATATTAGAAATATACACCAGGTTTGACACACTAAAATCTTCTTTGTAGTTTTGGTTACACAAAGAATATATCTCTATCAAGCTTCTAAGGTGAAGGTAAATGAGATTAATAATTTCTTATCCATATTTACCATGTTACTTCAATACCTGAAAATATATATCCATAATGAAAATACTGTGTGTGAGTGTGTGTGTAAAACATGAATGTGAAATGAATATGATTTTAGTTTAGAAAGACTCAGACAAAAAAACCTAACTTTCTTCCAAAATTCAAAGACGTGGATAATTAAGTGTTAACTTTTATTTGATTAGAAAAACATTAAAGGGCAAATGTTCAAAGTGGAGTGTAGTAAGTCAGCTGAACTTTCATTCATGCTAATGGGAGGTAGTTGGCTCTGTTCCCTGGACAATGCTTTGAACATACCCCTAGAACTTTAAAAAACCTAGCTAAGCACATTAAAATGGAATGTTTTTAGATTCTACACTCCTTTTAAACAGAACAAAGAAGAAAAAATATAAAGACAGGCTGTCTTTTTTTTTTTAACATACGTGAAAGAAGGATGTGGGCATTATTTAATAATGTTGCTTCTGGGTTGTGAAGCTCTGAATATTATTCAGTTAAAGGCCCACGAAAGACCCCCCAAATTTTTTGGTCCTGGGCCCTGTTACTGTAGGTGCCAGAAATAGTCCGAAAAAGAAAAATCGTGCCTTCTTTCATTCCTAAATTTAACAGCAAATATAATATTTCTTACAGTGATTCAGAGAGTGGGATTTTTATATGGCTACTCTGTTGACAAATAAATATGCAGTATGAAACAATTTGAATTGTAGATTCTAACAAATAGTTTTAAAATGACCACTTATAAAAGAAAAGAATTGGTGGAGGGATGGAAAAGCCCGCCCTGACAGCAGTAGATTTATTAAACCATAAGCTCAAACAACTCTGTTGTTTAGTCATGTATGGCATTCAGATACTAACAGAAGTAGATGGTGTAAAACAAAGATGGTACCTGCCAAGTTTTTCCTACAGTGATCAGACTGCATCTAGAGTGTCATTCCGTTGTCCACACCAGATGTTGATAAGGGAACGAGACTGCGTTGATGCGGTCTGGAAACCATGTCACATGAGGAATGCTCAAAGAAATATTACACAGCTGTGATGGTGTAATACTTGCCTACGATATTTGAGGATTTTCACATGTAAGAAGGATTACACATGAAATCGAAGCAACACATAGAGGAAGATAATAGCTCATTTTTTTACAGTGATATCCAAGAGGGAATGGAATGTTTTTAAACAGGTGAGCTGCTTATCACAGAAAGTGAACATAATAGAAAGTGTACAGGGTTTTTTTTACAATTGGAAGGAAGTTGGACTTCAGTAGTGTTTCCTAATTCCTGGCAATTTTCAGAATTGCATGTATGTATTATTATCATTGCCATTATTTTAACAGATTCCCTGAGGCACAACCCATGCTAATGAATCAGAAACTACAAGAAGATGGATCTATGATGGAGAATAAGTATTACTAGAAAAAAAATACTACCTTGAGAAATACAGTTGCTAAGGTCTAGATAGGTATTTTTCATAATTTCTGTTGAGATTATATAGTATGGTGAGTCTAGAGTTCATATCATGAACAAAATTTATATATATTAACATAAGTTGCCAATAAAATCTCGATTGCATCTGCAAGGTGGATCAGTTCAAATGTCATATTCTTAGAGACTTTTCAGTCATTTAACAAATGTTTATTAAGCACTTATCATGTGTTAAATCGAAGGATGAGGATTGTAAATTGTCAGCGATTATTGAAGATTTTGCTTTTGGAGAGTGAAGCCTATGAATGTTCACAGAGTTAAGATTATGAATAAGTAAATAAGTAATTTTAACTCACAAGACTATTTTTTATATCGTTGTAGCATTGTTAAGATTTCCTGGGTACAGATTAGAACTCCACCATTAGATCTATGTAATCTTGGGTGAAGTTCCTAAGCAATCTATTCTGTTTGTAAAAAAGTTTAACCTTCTAGAAAATGGTAATAGTAAAAACAAACACCTTTTAGTGTGTTGAAATTATTAGAAGACTATATAATGCATTTAATATAGTGTCTGATATATAGTAGTTAATTGATGACCATTAGCTATCATGAGTATGATCTTTCACCATCATTGTCAGATATTTAAATATCCAGAGGGAATGCCTCAGTGGAAACAAAACCTCAATTCACTGGGGATATTATTTTTATGATTTGCATCTAACTTTCAATATAGAAACCAGCTAGATCCCAAAAGTCAAATGAAGACATGTCAGACTTTTAAAAATGAAAGAAATATATGTGTGATAGTATCACTGCCTGTGGGAATATGTGGGTATCTTCTAGAATCCAACTAAAAATTGCTGTAGTAACCTGCTTTCCTAATCTGTTATGTTCAGAAAACATTTCAGTTTGTTAGAAATTCTTTCACCAAAAGTACTGCATTTACGTTGCTTGATCATTTCCAGATAAGTCTTGATCAAAATAAAAATATTTGCCCATGCCATGGAAACTTGGAGAATTTCTTTTCAATTTATAGGTAAATTAACATTAATTCTTTTAGGGAGAAAATACTTTCCTAATTTACATTTATACATTATCACCCTATCCTACCCTTCCCTTCCCTCCCCTTTTTCTTTTTCCCTTTATTACCCAGTTGTTAAATGTATTTCTCTGCATTTGGAATTCGAGTAGATGATTTTAATAATAAATTCTAGCAACACTTTATATAAATTGAGTCCTTTAACAAACATAAAATGTAAATAATCTTTCTCTACCACTATTTTGCCTTTCATTTTTTTTTCACAAAAAAGCAAGTTCACTTTCATTTCCTGAAAGCCCGTTTGTCAGACATGTGACTGTGGTTTTTGCAGTGTGGCACAATGTTTGATTGAATGTCAGAGGAAAATCACCCAGATCAAGTTAGAAGAGCTAGTTTGACAGAGTAATGACATTAACAGCCCTTCTTGTTGGTTTGAGATACATAACTCAGTAATCGCTGGCACCAATCATTATATTTTGGCTATTGTGGGATACATAGAGTAGAATGAGCCAAAACTAAAACAGCATAGCCCATGATGATTTAAGGATTAATAAAATATGCAAACCATTATGCATAGCTATAGATATATATCACAAACTCAGCATATTTAAGGTAACGTATGTGTATATAGAACCATTTTTAAAACAAAAGTGAAGTAAGCATCTTGCCAATCATCGACTATTGAATCCCCACCAAAAGGATGAAATTAATTATTCAGATTTTCTTATGTTTTGAAACTGGTTAAGCCGTCCTTTTTTGAGTGACAGAGTAGCATTTCTACTAGTGCCGTCTAGAAGATTCATTAACATATTTTCTGCTATTAAGTGAAAATCAGTTGTCTTAGAAAGTGCAATTTAAGTTTGGGTGTTGAAAGACTACACCAGAGGCTATATGTAGTAGACTGGAATCTTTATAAATAAATATAAGAAAGCATTAGTTGTGTATGTGTTGAAATAGTAGATGATTCTGCCCTAATTATCATGAATTTCAAAATGAAAGCCAGGTGCAATAAATATATATATATAATTGGTGTGTTCTAGTTCAAATCTGTTGCAGTAACATTGCAAAAGGCATACAATTTTAGAATTTTATTTTTGAAGGCTACATCTCTCTGCCATGTTACACCGTGCAGCATTTTCTTTTGTTCCCTAGCCCTGCCATTTCTCAGGGTTTTCTCTCTGCTTCTCAGTAATGCATGTGATCGCTGTTAATTTTTTTTCTTGTTTAGATAGCTGGTCTAAGATACCTCTTATTTAAAATTTTTATCATGCAAATTCTCCCCAGTTTCCCTTACATGCTAGTAACTCTAGAGAAATTTGTTTGTTGGTAAAATTACACTGAATTCTTCCCTGTAGAAATTAATAACATGAAATGTGAATTTCTTGAGCACAAATGATAACTCCACTTTCAGTCTTATATAAGGTGTTATATGGCACTTAAATTATACTCATGATATTTTTGCTAATACTTGCCTATTTTTTCAGTTGTGCTTCCATAAGTTGGTACTGTTCATGTAGAATTCTAAATTTGTTTGATATGTCATACGTCTGTTGCAACCTCACTATAGCATATATATAAATCATAGAATAAATGTTTAAAATACGTATATATTTCCCATATTCACAGACTATATTTATTCAAGACTGTATAGGAAATAAAATGCGATTAAAAGTAAATAGTTTCCAAAATGAATTTGATCAAAAATATCTACAGATCAAACAATCTAACATCAGCAATGGTTTCCAACAAAAACTGTCACAGCGAGTCCAAGTGTAGAACTCAAAGAAAAAAAAAAACCACAGTTGTGTCATTTTGTTCATTAGAAAAATGAAAACTATAAACTTAAAACCATACTTTAAACCACTTTCCTAAGCACATGAATTGGTCATGAATCATAACTAAATCTCTGAGATTTCGCTTTAAAAATCATTTAAAAAAGAATCCTCAGGAGATTGACATGTTTTGAGAGTATTTTATGTGGTCAGGTCTGTGGGTTTGGTGATCTATTGCAACATAACAAACTGAAGAACCTTTCAAATAATTGTTTTTCAGTAATCGCTTTATGCACTCAGGAAGGAATTACAGACCACCTAATAAGAGTAAATGATGAATAGTTAACAAAATCGAGTAAATGCAGTTTAACAAAAGTGAGAACGCATACATGTAACATTTGTTGTTTTATATATTCCAGATTCAGAACAATTTGTGGGCAGGCAATGCGAGTGGTGGTTCTGTGGTTACTTCATGCATGTTACCACGTGACACTTCCTCCTGTATGACACCTTATTCTCACTCGCCTCGGACAGATTCCAGTTACACAGGGTTTTCAAACCACCAGAACCAGTTCAGCCACGTGCCCCTCAACAATTTTTTCACTGACTCTCTTCTTACTGGGGCTGCCAATGGACATGCATTCGAAACAAAGCCAGAGTTTGAAAGGAGGTCTTCCAGCATTGCAGTTCTTCGAATGAAAGCCAAGGAGCACACGGCCAATATTTCATGGGCCATGTAACACACAGTACTCTTATTTTTCTTTTAATGACAAAGTAAAACATTCTTATTTCTCATATTTAAAGGATACCACAATAAGCTGCTGTGTGTGGATATTGCTAAAGGTCAAGATATACAGTGAGACCAGCTTAAATGAATAGTCGTTATTATTTAACATTAAAATCTAAGAATGAACCTATGAAAAGACTAAATAGGTTTACCATCTACCAGTCTCAACAAACTCTGTTTTAGTAGTAAGATATTTTTCCCCTATTGTATGAGTCAATGAATTATGATCATGCAACTTAAAGGAATAAATGTATTAAACAAATTCCTCTGTTATAGATTGATTTATGTTAGTTCTGTTTAACAAGAAATCCCTTGTAAAATAATACCTGATAAAGGAGGAAATGCACTGGGGAAAATGTCAAGATACCAGAGCTGTCAGGTAAATACTGAAGCAGGGTGTTTTGAGGAGTTAACTGCCATTTCTCCCTCTCTGGCTCCCAGACACAATGGGCATATCCCCTGTTGCTGTGAATTTATCTTCAGGCCTCAAAGATTTTTCCACTCCATGAAAAAAAGAACTCTTCTAAAGTGACTAGCATTTGCGTGAAATATTTGAGCATAATTTCCTGAAAACATGTGGCTCAAGGTGATAACTGAAATATTCTGGTGTGATTTAAATTACAGTTTTTGAAAATGCCATCTTTTTAATGAAAAAGTGTATTGACTCAATGACTTAGTCATCACACACCAGAAAAAAAAGAAAGTAACAAAACTTACTTTTGCTTTTTAAACTAAATTTGTGTAGGTCAAAGTATACACACAAACATCTAGTAAATACACCAGAAGAAACAATTTTTGACATGTGACATTCTATGTTATGAGAAGCAGCCTATCAGAATTTGTATTTATTTCGTGGGCACATGCATGTGTGTGTTTCTTGACATAAAAGCCCTAAGCATTTTTTGCTACTGTGGTTTTGTGTGGGGAATTAAAATGTCAGAAGGCTCTCTAAAATTTCTGGTGGAAAAGAAGAGAAGAAAAATATGTTGCATCTGGAAAACTGCTGACCCCTTTGATTTACTTCTCCTCCTTTCCCCTGTCACATTCCAAGTTTTTTCAGATGAGTGAGATGTCAACCTCCTTGAAAGACTCTGAAGTTCATAAAGGCAAAGTAAATTAATTGAAATGAAGATGACTTCCATGGCTTGGATCAGAGCAAGGTCTGCTCTTTGTACTCTCTCGGAATCATCTTTGTGGTTCCTATAGCCTTTAGGGATATGCTTGGAAAGCCCTTGGGCTAAAGGACAAGAATAAGTGAATTTTAAAATTAAATTTTAGAAAAAATACTTAAATCCAGTGTCTCTCCTACTGGGAAAATATTTACAGCAGTTAAACATCTTTTTTAGTAAGATTTTTAAATCAAGTTGGTGATTGGAAGTGAGTGATGTCCTAAGCAAACATTCCTTGACATCATAACGACTCTGTTCTTTTATTACTTTCATGTTCTCTCTTTTTAGTTTTGTTTCCAAGACAAACTTGGTCAACTTTGGCCCTAGAATTATGCTTACATGCAGGAGCTTTTGTTAGAGGACAGTTTAGGCAGCTGTTAAATATCCTTCGTGATGTGGAAGAGAATGACTTCTTTTAACATATTCATATATGTGGTCAATAGGAACTTATGAACTAACACTTAGAACTAAAATGTAAGATTTTCTGTTTAAAAATGGCTCAAACTAGTAATGTTCATGTTCATTTTCTTCTGCTTTTTTAACAAATTTTAGTGTCAATTGGCTGATGCCTTTTATGTTTTAAATGAGACAAAATTCATTTTTGAAACAAGTATGAATGTCACTTCATTCCTCAGTTTTCCTACTTTCAGTTTTCCTTAATATATTCTAAGTTTGAGCTTCTGTAACTTTTTTTTTCAATTTAAAGGACATTTCTTAATTGAGGTTCTACATCTGAAATGCTTTGCATGAGTTTAATTCAATCGGCACATTTTTTAAAAAGCCTCTACAGTGTGTGAAGTACTATTTGAGATACTAAAATAATGGAAGCGTGGTTCTTGTCCTTGATGAGTTCACATTCTTCCTGGATAGAAACAGGCATAACGTTTGTACCCTCAACCATGCCTCATGATATATGATGGCAATAAGTATCACATGAAATTATTTATGTGAACATTCCTACATTCTTTTTTATTGGCTGAAAATTTTATTAGATATTTAAGTTGCTAAGCTATAATAAAATGAACTTTTGATGTAATAGGATAAGATAAAGCTAAAACAGAGTGCATAAAATGCACTTCCTGAGTTTACTCTTGTTCTTTCTGAAGTTAGGTTAAACAAAGTTTCATACACTAGAATTCATATTGCTCACAAAAATGTCTAACATATGTACTTAAGAGAAGAAAAACTAGAGTGTTCATTTACTTTTAGTTGGACTCATTATTGAGAATGCCAATAATTGGGAGTTTGGGTCCCTTAATTAGTTGAATTACTTGGACATTGGTTCCCACGAAAGTCTCATCTCCTATTTGCCCCTTTCATTCACACATTTTTTTCTTGCACAGATGGTTTACAATACGATTCTTGTACTCTTTTCCCTGAGCAATTTGGTTAAGGTTTGGACTTTGTGATAAGAGATGCATTTAATGGAGAGTTAGATAAGTTTCTTTCATAAACATAAAATGACATTTCAGAAAATGGTTTATGGATTTTTGGTATATCATTTACTTCTATGAATGTTAAGTAGGGATCGTGTTCTTATATAACTTATTATGAAATGAGAAAAAAGAAAGCCTCTTTGCCCTCTGTCCTGACAGCATATCTCAAAAGAATAACAGAGTTACTTAACCTATATAACCTTGAGGAAACTCTTGAAACTGTGTGTATAAACTATAGGAGTGTATTAGTTTCATCGTTTCACTTGGCTGTTGATTTTTTTTTTACCTCCAAGGAAGGGAACAGGGGCAAACCAGTGTAGTTAATGTATTTCTTGTGTAGATGATATGTTATTGCTATTAGTATCTTTACATTCCAGTCTCAAATATTGGGTGCTTATTTGACTTCCATAATGTAATTCATATATTACTGCCTTTGTCTCACATAATGCTGTCTTAATTTAACAGCAACTAAAAAGTGCTTTGGCTAAATAAGTGAAAATATAAACTACAGTGTTTGCATAAGCTATTTGGAAATTTTAAATAATTTTATAAGCTTACCAGTGACCCTGACTTTTATCTTTCAATATTTAATTCAGATAGTATTGTGAGTGCTAAGTGGTTATGTTAGATATAATTGTTTTATTAAAAATAATTACCAATTATGTTGCCAAATATTTTAGAAGAAATGTGGAAATGATCTTATTTTTAAAATCCTAGCTGTGCTGACTTCTCTCTTCTCTGATGAGAATATGAAGATATATGTTTATTATTTAAAACATACTTGCTAACTTTAATCTGTCTCTACATTAAGACAACAGGCATCTAAAATTCCAACAGACATTATGTCTTTGTAGCTATTCATCTTCTGCACTGGAGAAAGTATGGCTTTTTATAATGGAATTTATTTAATAACATGATATTTTAAATAGTACTTTTGTTCTTAGCCTCTAAGTCTCATCATATATATTTTATACAAGCCAGGCAGTAATGTCACTAATGATCCAAATGAAAACAAAATCAGAAGTGAAATGCCTAGTATTAGAGTCAGCATTTATGGTCAGAAACCTCAAAAACATTAAATATGATACTGGTTTTACAGAGTATAGTATATATTAAAACAGGATTTTTTGTTTGTTTTAAAAAGTCTTTTTAAATGAACATATTGCCATCATTTATGCTGGAAATATATTGCAAAAATGGTGAGCAAGTCTTCAAGTCAGGGGCTAGGTAATTCTTCAGTTTTACTGCATAAAAACTAGAGAACTGAAAGAAGCTTTTTCTTTTTCTCTTAGCTTTAGAACTGATACCACTGCAAATTTTTAAGTTCAAGGGACAGATAAATGACTTCATTTGGGTGTTTTATTATGACCCTATTTTATGTGTCTGACTTTACAATAAGAGACACACTGAAGTTTGCCATGCATCTTCACATAATGCATACTTGTAATATTTTCTCTTACCTTGACATACATTTTAAAGACTTGAAATAATTCAGAACTACCAGCCTCGTCAAAAAGTAACAAGTTTTCAGAAGAAGGCTAAAGGAGCCCCCTACAGGCTTCTTTCGCAGGTTCAGTTGGTGGACTTGGAAAGATTCAAATGTTCAAGATCTCCCCAGATCACTAAAGCAGGGTTCATCATAACTTAGGAGATAGTGGGGTTAAGGGAGGGTGTATCTCTGGATAGAATTCAGGGATCTGTAAACTGAGCTGGAAAAATAATTAGATCTTTATTTTTACTAATTCCTAGAATGAAACTTAGTGTTTTCCCTTATTGATGAATATGGACAATGTACACATCTCAGAGTATTAGCAGCACCTGTGATTTTTGTCACCAACAGAAAGAACAGGGTTTTCATATTACATTAGAGTTATAGATATCTTGAAATAATTATAATTCAAGTTTACAACTTGACAAGGACAGTGTTCAAACTTCAACAGTTTTCAAGCTACTTTACAGCGAGGATAAATTTTAGATCTGTTGCTGGATCTTGTTAGTTAATCTATCAATAAAGATGCACAGATACTACTACACCCTAAAAATAGCTTCGTAAACATTTGGACACCTGTATTTCAATGTAATTAGTTTTCTTCCAAAGCCTATACATTACATGTATTCAAATACATAAAGGGAATCACAAGATCACCAAACTGACAGAGAGGTCGGTGGCATGGAAGGGATTGAGAAACCCCCTTATCCTCCAAGGTCATTTCTTCACATCAAGCTTTTTTTCTCTCTAAAGAATAGTCCTGTGTTATGGAAGGCGTAAAATAGGGTACATAATAATTTATCAGATTATCTCTTACTAGTGGAATGTAGGATTGAAATAGAACAGGACTTTTCAAGCAGGCAGCCCCAAAGCATTCAATTTTGAATGAATGAATGAGGCATTTTAAGGAGGATCACCAAGGAGCCAAGACATGGAAGACGGGGACTAGGCCCTGGGAAGAGGGCATATGGCATTGGCAGCAGTGTGGAAGGGGTATGGCCTTAGGAATCCTATTTCTACCACTTTTTAACTTTAAAGCCATAGGTGGGTCATTCAATTCATCTGTTTTCTCACTGATAATTGAAACAGTTGCATAAAGTTCTAAATTAACATGGCACTTTGACATTTATTTTCTCCCTTGACTTCC